ATGTATCGAAGTCATTCCTCCCTTCACTCCCTGAAGTCAGAAAGATAGTATTTTGCCATTGATTGCTGGAGCAATCTTATTTCGCGTCGCGCTTCTGGCCTGTAGTCCTATGGCAAAAGAGACAACTCGCATAGACGAGGCTTGCGTGCACAACCGCATGGTAGGACAAATGAGCAATAGCACGAAGATTTCATTCGTTATCGAATCCCGCCAAGCGATTTTCGCCGCTGACTTATATACTGCTAGTACACGTGTGACAGTGCCTCCCGCGCTGGAGAATGGCCGGTCGGCAAACACATTCATTAATTTCTTTTGGCAGTGTACAACGAATTCCGCTTGCTAGGTGCATTCCGAGAGCTGCACCCAGACTAACGCCCGCTCTCGGGCACTTGAAAAGCAACACCTGCACTTCCCAACCGTTTGCTCCGTGTACAGACCGTGTCATTATATAACTATTCAATTATAACTGAACTAAAAAATAGAAATATTTGTTTCTCTACGAAAATCTCAATGTGTGTTAGTGTGAGAGAGTGTGTCTGTTATTTGCATGTAATAGATCGAAAATGAAAACTGTAATAATTATTTACGAAATGTGTTATGTAACTTCATCAATTACTTTACGCCATCAACAGTAAAAATAGTCAAAACAGTCAAAAACAGTCAAAACAGTCTAAACAGTATAAACAGTCAAAATAGTCAAATTACTCTAAATAATCAAAATAATAAAAATAACCAAAATAGTTATAATACTCAGGATAGTCAGATCGACTTGGACGGATCGGTCAGTTGATCGGCTGGTTGGGTCGATCCCCTACTTGATCGATTTGCTAGGTAAATCCCCTACTTGATAGACTTGCTAGGTAAATCCCCTACTTAATCGACTCGCTAGGTAAATCCCCCACTTAATCGACTTGCTAGGTAAATCCCCTACTTGTTCGACTTGCTGGGCCGATCCCACACTTCATCGATTTGCTAGGTTAATCACTCACTTGATCGACTTGCTAGGTCGATCCCTCACTTCATCGACTTGCTGGGTATTCTCCCACTTGATCGAATTGCTAGGTCGATCCTTCCACTTGATCGACTTGCAGGTCCGATCCCCCACTTGATCGACTTGCTAGGTCGATCCCCCACTTGATAGACTTGCTGGGTCGATCCCCCACTTGA